CCATATGTTGCATGATTTCATTTATATGAAATGTCCGGAATAAGCAAATCTATAGAGACAGGAAGTAGATTAGTGTTGCCAGGTGCTCAGGGATAGAGAAGACAGGGAATGACTGTTAACTGGTATGAGTTTCTTTTGGGGTTAATAAGCATGCTGTGAAATTAGATAGTGGTTTTGGCTGCACAACCTTGAATATACTAAAACAACTACTGAATTGAATACTTCAAAAGAGTGAATTTTATGGGATGTAAATTGTATCTCAATGCTGTTATAAAACAAAACACAACAAGAAGAAATAATAAACTTAGGCCAGGCTCTCTGCATACATAGAAACAGAGGTTAGTATCTAATGTCAGTTTATGTAAGTTCCTCAGGGGCAGTAATTGTTTGAGTGTTTCAGATACTTATCACAGTGTCTGAACATTTTAAACACTTAAGTCTTTCTTAAAATAATTAACATTATGATACCAAAATGAAGAATTTTGTGTATAAATTATTGCAGACATGTAAGGCTAAAATAAAGATGAAAGGAAATAAAAGCTATTAGAAATTAAAGAGAACTCAACAGGTAGCCAGTTCCAAAATAAATAGTAAAAGATTAGTATATTTTCTATATATCTGCAATAGCCTAGCCATAAAATTTAATGCAAATATGTATTATTAACAAAAACAATATAAAATACCTAAGAATAAACTTAGCAAGAACTGTACAGAAGTCTATGTTGGAAAAAAAAAGACGTTATTTTCACAAAGGATATTAAAGAAAAGGTGAAGATATACCATATTCATGGCTGGGAAGATTTAATATTGTAAAGATATTACCTCTCCCCTAAACAGATCTGTATATTTTATGTAACCGCAGCCAACTCCAACAACATTTTGGGAGAAGAACTAAGTGATTATGAAGTACATACAAAGGAAAATGTGTCAAAAAAATCCAAAAATACTCAAGAATATTTGGAAGAGAGGAATTATAATTGAGATTTGCTGTGTCAAAGAGTCAAGTATATTATAAAGCTATAATATTGGCACAGAAATAGCAGCTAGATCATAGAATAAAACAACAACAACACAATGCTAACATTCATTGAGTACTCTGTGTGTTTTGGGTATTTACATGGCCCTCCTTCAGCTCTATGAGGGTAGTTACCATTTTATTCCCATTTAACATAAGAAAACTGAGATTCAGAAAGGTCTAATAACCTGGCTAACTTGTTGATAACAATCAACAGGGTATTGGTTAAATAAAATATGGTATACTTTTACAATTAAAGACTATATATGTGACCATTTAAAATTATGTAGAATGTTAGTGACACAGTAATTAGGATAATTATATTAAACAGAAAAAGTAGATTATAAAACAATATGATCCCATTTAAGATATATATATATATATATATATATATAAGCTTTATATATAGCATATATATACCATATTTTATTTAATCAGCACCCTGTTAATTGTTATTCAGGCTTATGCAGATTTCTGGCTCTTATCACAATGCTGTGAATAACATTCTCATATCCAATTTTTTTTTCCTTTTTTTTTTTTTTTTTGAGATAGAGTTTTGCTCTTATTTCCCAGGCTGGAGTGCAATGGCATGATCTCGGCTCACTGCAGCCTTTGCCTCCTAGTTTCAAGCGATTCTCCTGTCTCAGCCTCCTGAGTATATGGGATTACAGGCACCCGCCACCACACTGGCCTAATTTTTGTATTTTTAGTAGAGATGGGGTTTCACCATGTTGGTCAGGCTAGTCTTAAACTCCTGACCTCGTGATCTGCCCGACTTGGCCTCCTAAAGTGCTGGGATTACAGGTGTGAGCCACCGCACCCAGCTCTATATCTAAATATTTTTACAGAGCCTCATTTATTTTTATTTTTATTTTTATTTATTTATTTTTTTTGAGACGGAGTTTCGCCCTTGTTACCCAGGCTGGAGTGCAATGGCGCGATCTCGGCTCACCGCAACCTCCGCCTCCTGGGCTCAGGCAATTCTCCTGCCTCAGCCTCCTGAGTAGCTGGGATTACAGGCACGCGCCACCATGCCCAGCTAATTTTTTGCACTTTTAGTAGAGACGGGGTTTCACCATGTTGACCAGGATGGTCTCGATCTCTCGACCTCGTGATCCACCCGCCTCGGCCTCCCAAAGTGCTGGGATTACAGGCTTGAGCCACTGCGCCGGGCGCGAGCCTCATTTATTTAAGGGTAAATCCCTAGAATTAAACTTTGCTAATTAAGAACACCAAATCTAGGAATCAAAATAGGTTTGAATTTTTCCTCTTGTACTTCTACAAACCTAGGCAAGTTATTAGACCTTTCTGAATATATATATAAAATATATATAGCATATACATATATATAAATCTTATATATATGTATCTGTTAAGTGGGATCATTGTTTTTTAATCTGTTTTTTCTGTTTAATATAATTAAACATCCCATTTAAGACACACACACACACACGTATATATATATATATATATAAAATCTTTTCTGTTTAAACAGATACCATTTAAAAGAGAGATATATACATACATATACATATGTATATATATATCTTTAATGAGATTATATTTTATAACCTACTTTTTCTGTTTACAGAAAGATTTTCTTGTTTTTGGTACAAAACTCATATTATTTCTCTGCATATATATACCAAAAATTATTTTCTTTGAGTAAAATTATGAATGATTTTGGCTGGATGTGATGCCTCACGCCTGTAATCCTAGCACTTTGGGAGGCTGAGGCAGGGAATCACTGGAGGTCAGAAGTTCAAGACCAGCATGGTCAACATGGTGAAACCCTGTCTCTACTAAAAATACAAAAAATTAACCAGGCATGATGGTGCGTGCTATAGTCTCAGCTATTTATGAGGCTGAGGCAGGAGAATTGCTCAAACCCAGGAGGCAGAGGTTGCAGTGAGCCAAGATGGCACCACTGCACTCCAGCCTGGGTGACAGAGTAAGACTTGGTCTCAAAAAATATATATGTATGAATGATTTATATTTTCTTCCGCTTGCTTATTTTCTGATTTTTCCATAGTGAGATAAATGTTCCTTCTCTAAAAAATTTTTTAAATAAAATTATGTTGTTTTTGTTTTTGTTAAACAAGGTGTGTGAGGTTGTTGTTATCCTTTCATTATTCACAATGCCAGCTGGCTTAGCCGCTCCTCTGTGCTCCTGCGGTCCCCTCTGTTTCCCTTGATCCAGTGTATTGTCATGGTTATCATAGTGTATTGTCATTATTTACTTTTCTGACTCCTATTTCTGTATCCTTGGTGCCTGTAAGAGTGTTTGGCTCAATAAATGCTTCAGTAAGGAAAGACTGGGAATGAAGCATGGAAAAAAAAGAGGAAGGGAAGGAGAAGGGAAACCCCTTTGCAGAGATGCAGGTCTACCTTTTTTTTCCTGGTATTTAGGCCAGCTTCTTTTCCCAATATCCAAAAGCAAGTGGTGGATGGAATATTACTCATAAAATTCTTTTTTTTTTTTTTTTTTTGAGATGGAGTTTTTCGCTCTTGTTACCCAGGCTGGAGTGCAGTGGTGCAATCTCGGCTCACCGCAACCTTCACCTCTTGGGTTCAGGCAATTCTCCTGCCTCAGCCTCCTGAGTAGCTGGGATTACAGGCACGCACCACCATGCCCAGCTAATTTTTTGTATTTTTAGTAGAGACGGGGTTTCACCATGTTGACCAGGATGGTCTCGATCTCTCGACCTCGTGATCCACCCGCCTCGGCCTCCCGAAGTGCTGGGATTACAGGCTTGAGCCACCGCGCCCGGCCACTCATATAATTCTTTATGCCGATAGAGAAAATGGGTTGAAGAACAACAACAATAGCAAAAGGCCTTGATTTCAGAACCACTTGTCTAAGTTCTGATTGCAAGGAACCAAAAATACATGAAGGGCTAGGCATGGTGGCTAACCGTTGTATCCCAGCACTTTGGGAGGCTGAGGCAGGAGGATTGCTTGATGCCAGGAGTTTGAGACCAGCCTGGGCAACATAGGGAGATCCTTTCTACAGACACAACACACACACACACACACACACACACACACACACACACACAACACACACATACAAATACACTAAGCCAGTTGTGGTGGTGCATGCCTATAGTCCCAGCTACTTGAGGGAGGCTGAGGGTATAAGGATTGCTTGAGCACTAGAGATCAACACTGCAGTGAGCCCTGATTGAGCCACTGCACTCCAGCCTGGGTGACAGAGTGAGACCAACCCTGTCTCAAAAAATACATAATTTATATGTTTATGTATATATATATATATATATATATATATATATATACACACCCCCCCTTTATATGCTTATATGTATGTTACACACGTGAAGGGCAGGTTGGTTATCTCTACATTTAGAGAGGCCAGAGTGAATCTTTCCCAAATTATTGAAACATACGAGGGCTATTTTGGCAGAAAATGCTGCCCCATCCCTCCTTCCCTTCTACCAGTTTTAGCTAAAAAGCCCTTTTTGGTTTTTTAGAGACAACGTCTTGCTTTGTTGCCCAGGCTGGAGTGCAGTGGCATGATCATAGCTCACCTAATCTGGAACTCCTGGGCTCAAGTGATCCTCCCATCTCAGCCTCCTGAGTAGGTGGGACCACAGGCATACACCACCATGCCTAGCTATTTTTTTTTTATTTTTAGTAGAGAGCAGGTCTCACTATGTTGCCCAGGCTGGTCTCCAATTCTTGGACTCAAGTGATCCTCCCATTTCTGCCTCCCAAAGTGCTGAGATTATAGGCATAAGCCACCATGCCTGGCTTAAAAAACCATTTTTAATAAAAGACTTGGCAGATGTGGGAGTTGTTGCCTGGTTGCCTTTCAGACTTTTCTGGGTAAAAGATCATAAGGGACCTGGGGACTGCTCCCTGGCCTAGATGATCATATCGTGTATCTATTTAAACATTAATTTGCTTGAGAAGAAAGCCAGAGAAATGGACTTAATGTAACTCATAGTGTTATTTTTCTTTCCAGGAAGGAGAACAGTTTGTGAAGAAAATCGGTGGTATTTTTGCCTTCAAGGTGAAAGATGGTCCTGGGGGTAAAGAGGCCACCTGGGTGGTGGATGTGAAGAATGGCAAAGGATCAGTGCTTCCCAACTCAGGTTAGTTTGGGAATGACTTCATTCCTAGGAGTACCGACAAGTTTACGAAGGCTGTCAGCTGGGAAAATGGGAGTCTGCTTTGCTGTTCCGAAAAAGGCCTGGCTTTTTTTTTTTTTTTTTTTTTTTGTGACAGAGTTTCGCTCTTGTTACCCAGGCTGGAGTGCAATGGCGCGATCTCGGCTCACCGCAACCTCCGCCTCCTGGGCTCAGGCAATTCTCCTGCCTCAGCCTCCTGAGTAGCTGGGATTATAGGCACGTGCCACCATGCCCAGCTAATTTTTTGTATTTTTAGTAGAGACGGGGTTTCACTATGTTGACCAGGATGGTCTCGATCTCTTGATCTCGTGATCCACCCACCTCGGCCTCCCAAAGTGCTGGGATTACAGGCTTGAGCCACCGCGCCCGGCGCAGGCCTGGCTTTTAATGTTAAAGAACTAGTGGATTCCAGGGAACAGGAACAGGTCAAAGCCACCTCCTCCAAAGGATTTAGAGGCTGCATCACAGAGTTGCCAGTGTTAGTCTTTGGAATTATGCAAACTTGGGTTGGAGTCTGTCCATGCCATTCACATATTCTGACCTCGAACAAGTTATTTAACTTTTCTGAGACTGAGTTTCCCCTTCTGTAAATGGGCTTAATAATAAATGGCACCTTTCATAAGGTTGGTATGCGGATTGAGGGAATTCTCTCTTAATTAACCTATCAGGCACATGGTCCAGTGCATGGCTAGTGGCCTTGGAAGATCTGTCTATATTCACTACTGCCAGTTATTTTCATTCAAATCTTTCTTGAACCCACTTTAGTCAGTTTTTATTCTCATCACTATCCCCAGACTGTTCCTGTCAAGGTCACCAGTGACCACCACATTGCTAAATTCAGTGGTTAATTCCCAGCCCTCATGTTATTACACTTAAATGTTTTCCTTACCTGCTGGCTGCTCCTCCTCTTACCTACTGGCCTCTATTTCTGGCTTCTTCCTGGCTTCAAATTTCTAAACATTGGAGTGTTCCAAGGCTCAGTTCTATTTGCTTAATTCCTTGGGGATCTTATCTAGTCCCATGCTTTAAAACAGTTTCTGCACTGATGACTTTGTCTTTAGCGTGGACCCAGCCACTGACCTACAAGGTGTATTTCCAGCAGCTTAACTGACAAGTTTACTTGGACACCTAATCGGTATTGCAAAAATGAGAAGCTGAACTCCTGATCTTTCTTCTTCTCCCCTCTAAGTGCGTACTCCTCCTGTTCTTTTCCCATAATTGGTAAACTGTTCCTGTGTCCTACTGGTTCCTTGGTTTGAAAACGTTGAAGTCATCCGTGGCTACTTTTTTTCTTTTACATTCCACAGTTTAACCCATCAACACATCTTATCCTCCTCTGTCACCACCACTACCCTGGTCTAAGCCAATATCCTTTTTTATCTGGTCTCCTACAGGTTCTTCTCTACACACCTGCAAGAGTGATTATTTAAAAACTTGTCAGATTGTTACCTTCCTCTGCTCAAAAGCATCCAATAGTTTTGTCACACTCCAAGTGGAAACAAAGTTCTTAAAATTGCACTGTGATCTGGCCCCAGTTTTCACTGTCTTACTGTGTCCTTACTTACTTGGCTCCAATAACATTGGCTTCCTTGCTGTTGCATGAATGTCGGATGCCCTTGGTTGGGGGCTTTCTACTCTCTGTTTCCTGCCTGGAATTATCTTCTCCCAGATATCCTTGTGGCTTATTCCTTCATTTCCTTTGGATCCTTGCTCACAGGTCACCTTTGCAGTGAGCCCCTCTCTAGCCACCCTTTTAAAATCTTACCCCCATTGCCATTACCTATTGCCATTTTCTGTCTTATTTTTCTCCAAAGCATTTATTACCATCTGATATACCATGTAATATTTTACTTACGTTCTTACTGTCCATCTCTCTCACTTGAATTATAAGTTCTGTGAAGACAGAGCTTTTTGTCTGAGATACACTGCTGCATTTCCAGTGCTTAGAATGTACCTGACACATGGTAGGCCTTCAAAAATGAGTAATTTAAAAATGGAAAACAGAATGAATGGATGGCACTGAGTAAGCATTCAGTAAGTGATAGCTGTACTGTGCTGTTGTGCTTCTCTTGTTGGAGAAAGCCTAGGGTAATTTAGAAACATGGTGGATTGGGACCAGCTTTTTGGAGGGCTTGCGATGCCATGATAGGAACTTCGAAAGTCCTTTGGTATAGAACCAGTATACGAAAGCTTTTTAATTAATATACATTACATCTTCTTATATAGAAAAGTGAAGTCAGAGCTGTATTTTAGAAGATGAAGCTGGTGCATTAGACCTGATGAATTGAAAGGGGAGAGATCAGAGGCAGAGAGAGCCACAGGAGGATAAATGTTTCCACTGTCTAAGTGAGTTTCCGCTGTCTAAGTGAGCAGATGGCCAGTGTAGGCATCCTCTTGAGTGTAGGCAGTGAGAGAAGTGAGTGTCGTGAGAGTAGATGCCAGCCATCCTGGAGGTGAAGGTAATGGGACCTGGGAATTGTGTAGAAGAAGCACATCTGTCAAGGGTGGTGAAATTTTGTTACTGACACATTTTTGAGGGAGATCCTGCAGGAAAGGATGACATTGGGAGCACAGGTGGAAGCAAGGTTACCTCTAGTAAGAAGGGATGGATGGAAACTTCTTTCTCTGAAAGGGTAGTTAAATATTCAGGGGCATTTTGAGAGGAGAGGAGGTTGGCAAGCTCCTGAAGTAGAGTATAGAGCTTGGAGTCCAGAGAAAAAGTTAAGAGCACCGTTAAGTGCACTGTTGAATAAGGGATTGATGAGAGATGAATGAAAGAAAAATTGAGCAGTAGTTAGGGCATCCATCTGGTGTGGGCAGCATGGCTTTGTTGTGGAAGGTTCCTGAGTTATACAGAGTCCCTTTTTTTCCTTCTAAAATGAATGGGTAAAAAAATGGCCATAACTGCCTTCTGTGAGCTGCCACTCTAAGGTGGGGTACAAGAAAAGCTAAGGGCTTTATCTGGATTCCAGCTTTTAGAAATAGAAAGAACTTCAGGAATTATGGTAGTGATTTTTAAAAAATGACTGAAGGTCAATGGTTACTTTTATATTTAGATATGCCCATACTGATACTAAGGTTGTTTTTAAAAAATTTCTCCTTTTCCTTCTACTTTGTTGTTGTTGGTTGATTGTTGGTTTGTCATCAAAGAGATAATATGCTGATGCAAAGCTGTTGAATGATTTTGGAAAAGCTGAGTTCCCTCAAGATAGGTTCTTGTTCATGTTCTTCCCACATTAGTTGCCGTACCCCAGATCCTAAGGGATCTTACCCTGGCACAGGAGAATTTCTGCTGAAACTGACACTTGTTGGCAGCCAAGAATGGTGCTGAAATACAGACTTAACCAAGAAAAGCCACCACTGGAAATTGTCAGCTCCTTTTACACCAACCAACAAATGGCTGTTTGTTAGACGTTAGCTGCATTAAAGCATTAATAACCTGTCCTAGTTTGAACTGGCATCTTAAGGAGAACTGCTACTTCATTCGGCATGTACATAATGTTAGGGGGTTTGTTTATTGTTAACAAAGTAAGATTTACTTAAATGTATTTTGTAAGATCTTGGTAATGATTATTGAGATGATTTTATTATGGATTTTTAGATTTTGTGCATTTTCCATTGTCTCTTTTTGCTGCTTGGGTACCTTTTAGTATCTTCTCCATGAGTTCTGCCTTTCCCTCATCTCCTTTGAAGCAACTCATGTAGCATATTTCCAGGAAGCCAACTTTGATTAATATAAGATAACATATTATTCATTCATTTCTTTATTTTGCTCCTTCAGCCCTTTGAGTTCTCAACCCTATCCCTTTATGGGCAGCACGATACAGAAGGCTTCAAGGTCACCTATCCCCAAGGTATACCAGAAAGAGCATAGCCTTTTGGAAGCACCCAAACCTGGGTTCATATCTAGGCTCTTTCACTTAGAGGCTATATACCTTCCCTGAGTCTACAGATTAGAAAAAAAAGTTATCTGGAATATGATGAGACTATTTTCTATCCATAGAACTGCTGTGGGGATTAAATGAGATAAGGAAGATAGAGCACCGAGCGTAGTAAGTGCTCAGTAAATCACTGCTTCCTCCACAGACCATATGTTAAACACTAATTTTGCATGGATATACAGGTTTGTGTAAGCCCCTCAAAAGGACTTTGGAAACTGGGAAACCATCTGGGATTCATCAAATGCTGATGAATTGGTGAAGGCACAGTTAAAACTGAGCTGTTGAATGTTTACATACTTCCTACAACAAAAGGAAGCAGTAGAGCATAGGAATTGGGAGTATGAGCTTTGGCAACAGGAATCTGAATTCAGATGTAGCTCAGCTACTTACTAGCTATGTGATCTTGGTCAAGTTATTTGACCCCTCCAACCCTCATAGGATTGTTATAAAGATCAGGTGAGACCAGGTATGTTGAAGTGTTCAGCATAGTGAGAGCTCAATAAATGCTGATGCTACAGCAGCAGCAGAAGCAGATTTTACCTCCTGAAGCCCCCTTTCAATGACCAAGAGTCCTTTCTTGGACTTTTAGGACCAGGTCCAACTATCTCAGTTTGTTTTTTCCCTCATGCTCTTTGATTTTATATATCTGCAATAGAACTGGATTTTCTAGGCTGTAAATTTGTTTATGTTTTTAAGGATTTAGACCTTTTTTTCCAATATTAAGAGAAAATTTTGTTAGCCCCTAAGTTAGGATGACCATTGAATCTCAGTCTTTTTAGGGGCAATCCCTGAGTTGTAAAACACATAATAAAAACTTTTTTTCTATCTTGTTTCAGTTATTGAATAATATAGGCATACTATGCTTTAATAGTTCATTCCAACTCTTTTATTAAGGCACAGATCATCTGATTGCCTGTTGTGCCATCATCTGGTCATCTTTTGAACTTCACATAATCTACTCACCTATTCAACAAGTGTTTATTGATTTCCTATGTGTCAAGTACTCTTCAAGGGCCTGTGGATGTAGCAGAGAATGACACTGACAAGGGTTCTGCCCCCTTGATGTTTTCATTCTACTGGACAAATATAGACAGAAAGAAAACACATACACATATAAGTAGAGTAGTTTCAGGTAAGTGCACTGTGAATAAATGTGACTTAATTTCAACTTTAATTTGAGCTAATTCTTAATGAGAGGAGGCAACTGTTAGAATCCTATTGTTATATTAATTGATTGCCTAAAATGTTGACTGCTGAAAATGTTGATTTCTTGGTGAATTTTTCCTTTTGCACTTGAAACCTCTCATTTGGACAAGGTAGAGATGGCTGATTTAGCAATGAGATGTTAGTCTTTGTTGTCCAGTCTTTTTTCCAGTGTTTTAGTTTGATAATAAAATTAATATTTTAATTTTTTTTTTGAGACAGAGTTTTGCTCTTGTTACCCAGGCTGGAGTGCAATGGCGCGATCTTGGCTCACGGTAACCTCCGCCTCCTGGGTTCAAGCAGTTCTCCTGCCTCAGCCTCCCGAGTAGCTGGGACTACAGGCGCGTGCCACCATGCCCAGCTAATTTTTGTATTTTTAGTAGAGATGGGGTTTCACCTTGTTGACCAGGATGGTCTCGATCTCTTGACCTCATCATGATCCACCCACCTTGGCCTCCCAAAGTGCTGGGATTATAGGCTTGAGCCACTGTGCCCAGTCTATTTTAAAATTTTTGTATTATTAAAATTGCATACATTTGATGTAAAAAAATTAGAAAAGATAGAGAAATAAAACGAACTACCCTACCAAAATTCTACTGTCTAGGTTAGGAGTTGGCAGATTATGCCCTGCAGACCAAATCTAGCTCACCGCCTGTTTTTTTGTTTTGTTTTTTGTTTTGTTTTGTGTTTTGTAAAATTTTTATTGAAGTTTAGCCTGTAGTAAAGGGCATAATTCTGGAGTGTACCACCTGGTGAATGTTTACAAATGAATATACCTCCAAGGTCAAGACACAGAATGTTGCAAGCACTCCAGGAGCCTCCCTCCTGCCCCCCTCCTTCACTATTCACTCCCAAAAGGAACCACCATTTTGAATCCTATCACCATAGCTTGATTTTATGTATTTTGGAAATTCATACAACTAGAACCATAGAACAATGACATTTACTCTTCTATAGGTCTGGCTTTTGTCAGCAGGATAAGATCATTCATACGATTTCATGTGGCAGTAGTCTGTTTTCACTATGCGAATACCCCAGAATTTATTCTTTGTGCATTTGACATATTGTTGCATTGTTTCAATTTGGGGGCCTTACGAATAAAGTTAGGAATTTTTTTTTCTTTGAGAGGGAGTCTCGCTCTGTTGCCAGGCTGGAGTGCAGTGGCGCAATCTCAGCTCACTGCAATTGCTGACTCCCTGGTTCAAGCAATTCTCCTGCCTCAGCCCCTTAAGTAGCTGGGATTACAGGCAAATGCCAGCATGCCCAGCTAATTTTTGTATTTTTAGCAGAGATGGGATTTCACCATGTTGGTCAGGATGGTCTCAATCTTCTGACCTCATGATCCGCCTGCCTCAGCCTCCCAAAGTGCTGGGATTACAGGTGTGAGCCAGCGTGCCTGGCCATGAATATTCTTATAGATGTCTTTTAGTGGACATTTCCATTGTACTTATTTCCACTGGACATGTACCCAGGACTAGTTGATAAAGTACAGTATAGCCAAACAGGTGTTTGGTGTGGACATACTATTTTACATTTCCTTCCACATTATATGAGAGTTTTAGTTCCTCTGCATTTTTGACAGCACTTGGTACTTGACAGCTTTTTTTTTTTTTTTTTTTGAGACACAGTCTTGCTCTGTCGCCAGGCTGGAGTACAGTGGTGCACTGCAACCTCTATCTCCCGGGTTCAAGGATTCCTGCCTCAGCCTCCCAAGTATCTGGGACTACAGGCATGTGCCACCATGCCCAGCTAATTTTTGTATTTTTAGTAGAGATGGAATTTCTACTAAAATTTCTACGTTGGCCATTCTGGTCTTGATCTCTTGACCTCATGATCCGCCTGCCTTGGCCTCCCAAAATGCCGGGGTTACAGGCATGAGCCACCATGTCTGGCCTAGGTTTTTAAAAATCAGGTTAATTGATGTATAGTTTATAAACAATAAAATCAACCATTTTTAGATATATAATTCTGTGAATTTAGACAAATGGATACAGTTGTGTAACTATCACTGGAAATCAAAATATAGACAGACTGTTTACCCCAGAAAGTATTCTCATGTCCCTCCATAGTCAGCCCCCTCAGGCCCAAGCAGCCAGTAGTTTGATTTCTCTTCCCTGTAGTTTTGCTCTTCCTAGAAAGTCATACACATGAAATTATACAGTATGTAGCTTTTAGAGCCTGCTTCTTTCACTGAAATTTATTCATGTTGTTGCATGTATCATCTGAGACTTTGTTCCTTTTTGCTGCTGGATGGTTACCCCTCCACCAGTTGATGCACATTTGGGTTTTTTCTAGCTTTTGGCAATTATGAATAGAGCCACTATAAGCATTCATGTACAGGTTTTTGTGTGGACATAAGTTTTCATTTTTCTTCGATAAATACCTAGGAATAAGATTGCTAGTTTACATAGTATGTATATGTTTAGCTTTATGTGAAACTTACAGACTGTTTTCTGAAAGTGGCTGTACCATTTTACAGTCTTTCTGGTATTATGTTGACCTTTCATTTGTTCCACATCTTCACTGACACTGGGTATTGTCCTTTTTTGTTTGTTTTTAATTTCAGCCATTTGTTCCAGTAGGTATGTGGCACGCAACATGATTTTAATGTGAATTTTCTGATGATTAATGAAGTGAAGCACTGTTTCATGTGTTTCTTGACCATTTGGAGATCTTTTATGTAATGCCTATAGTGTGTCATTTGCCCATTTTTATACCGGATCATAACTTTTCTAATTGAGCAGTAAAAGTTCTTTTTTTCCCCCCAATCCACTGTACCTTAGAAAGGAGTTCTTCATATAGTCTGGATACAAGTTCTTTGTCAGAGATACATGAGTTGCAAATATCTTCTCCTCCCTCTGTCTGCCACCTGTTGAAAATAATTGTATTGGAACACAGCATTTGTTTATATTATCTATGGCTGCTTTTGCACTACAAGGGCAGAGTTGAGTAGTTGTGATACTGACCTTCAAAGTCTAAAATATTTACTGTCTGATCCTTTACAGGAAGTTTGTTAACCCTTGATCTAGATAACTGTATTCATTTTCTATTACTGGCTGAAAACAATGCACACATTTATTAGCCCACAGTTTCCATAGATGAGTAGGCTGAGGACAGCTTAGCTGGGCTTAGAGTCACACAAGGCTACAGTCAAGGTATTGGTCAGGGCTGGGCTCTCATCAGGTTGCTGGCATAATTCATTTCCCTGTGGCCATGGGAATGATAGCTTTCTTATTTTACTGGCTATGTGCCAGAGCTGGCCCTCAGTTCCTAACGGCCAGTTCCCTGCCACGTGGCCCTCTCCATAGGAAGTCCACAGCGTAACAGTGAGCTCATTCAGAGCCAGCAGGAGAGCAAGAATGAGTCTGCTAGCAAGGTGGAATCATTTAATGTAACAAAATCACAAGAGTGACATCTCATTATCTTTGCCATATTCTGTTAGCTAGAAGCAAGTCACAGGTCCTGCTTACAATGGAGGGAAGGGGATGTACACCAGGAGGGTCACCTTAGACCTGGCACAGGTACTATTAGTAACATATTGGTGTCTTAAGTTTACAGATGTTTGTCTATATTTATATGATTGACTTCTGTTTTTAAGCAAAAATGGCATCATACAGTTTATTTTGTAACTGGCTTATATAACAGTATCATGAATAATGTAACATGAACATTTTTTTCATGTCAGTAAATCCAGATCCATATCACTTCTTATGGCTTGTATTGTACCCCATTATTTGAATATACCATAATTTATTTGATCAGGTCTGCCTTGTTAAATATCAGGATTGCTTGTGGTTTATGTCACATTTTTATAGGCTGCCATAGAAGTATATGTGAGTGCCCATTTCCCCACACTGCCTCAGTGCTGGGTGGAATTCTGTTGCAGTCAGTGGCTCTTGACAAAAATGTATATGTGAAACTGAACAACTCCTTTTCTCCTTCCTTCTCCTGTGTATCTGCTTTAGATAAGAAGGCTGACTGCACAATCACAATGGCTGACTCAGACTTACTGGCTTTAATGACTGGTAAAATGAATCCTCAGTCGGTAAGTAAGATGGAGCTTATATCCTGCTAGTAGGTAGGTCTTTCAGCCCTTTCTACCCCATCTCCTGACTCAGACTCTAAAGTACAAAGTGGTCAGACTTACAAAACTCAGTGTTCTCCAAACAAATGACAGACATCTATAGAGCCAGCTATGTGCCAGACACTGTCTTGTGTGCTGGAAGTTCCCAGATGAGTAAGAAATAGTTCCCATGCTCAGGGCACCCACAGATCTATAAAAGAGTAAATCCAGCCAGAGATCCAAGGTGCCACATCTGGCTTGTGATCGGGGAGAATGGAGACAGGAGCAGTCGTATCTCTCTGGGCCATCAGGAAGAACCCCACAGAGGAAGCAGCTCTTGAGCTTAGTGCCCAGGTGGAAAGTAGGAGTGTTCCAGGAAAAGGCAATGGTGACATGAACAAAGGCATGACCTTTTGCATTCTAGTTATTTGCCCATGCTCTTCTTTTTGCCTGGCCTGTCCTCATCTGACAAATGTGTTTCAAAATTAGCTCTGAGGTTATCTCCAAGGACCTCTTTCCAAGTTGCTGGGGAGCTGTAACCAGTCACTGAGCCACTTACTGGGCTGCCAGCTTAGTGCCTGTTGCGTTGTGTTAGTCGTAATGTGCCTCTCTCTTCCCCATTGGATTGTGAGTGTCTCAAAGCATCTTCGTCTGCAGTGTTGAATGGACTTGATATAGTGAGCTTTCTATCAACTTGATATACTGAGCTTTTCATTAACAAAAAAGAAACTAAGATGTTTCTTTCCAAAGTAACTTAATTTTTTTTGTTGTCTCAGTCTGGTTTGTTTTAGGTCTTATTCCTGTGGTTCTCTGGTAATTTGCAAGATTGGATAAAACAACTGACTCTCACGCCTGCTTTTTAAAAATGCTTTTTCTAAGTAGTCAAGCATATTTTAGTTGATGCCATGACAAGTGAGAGATTTGCATCTGTGATATTTCAGCTGAGTACACACCATTGGCATTGACATTTCCACTGAGCCTGCTCTAGAAATCTGGACAGAACAGAGGCCACCAGTATAGGAGCTGGCTGTCATCCTCCTTCCCACTCACTGCACGTGCCATGCACAGCTTTGGCAGGGTGTTCAGACTTCACACATCAGCTGCCTTCATTCTCTCAATTTATCTTTGTACTGCCCATTTTGGAGGGCAAGGTGTCAGCTTATTTTCCTTCAGCACCTGTTAATACCCAAAGGAATGAAAGATAAAAATGGCAGACCTTTCTATTAATGTGCTAATGGACTTCCCTTATTGTCAGAGGATTTCCAGAGGATTTGACTGGAAATCATTAAATGCAGTGGAAATTCTAATTTCAGTGTTTGGCTCCAGCAGAAAGCATCAATGAGGAACACCTAGAGGCCAGATTAAAATAATCTGTAAAGTGCAATAATAATTGGACTCTCTAAAGGGTGAAGATTCATATTTTCTCTATTGTTAGTAAATAAAACGTGATTTTCTTTTTTAACTAAGAAAGGGGAAAGGTGGTGAGTGTCTACTGTACTACTGGTCCATATTTTTAAATGACATATGTTAAATATATTGTGTTCTGAGACACCTGACCTTTAAGTCATCAGACAGAAGGCTTTATGCCATATAGAAAGGAAATATTTAGTTTGTCCAGACAGAGGAGGGGAAAAAAAAGGAATTAGTCACCCTTACCAGGAGGTACAGAAAAAGCAGAGCTCCTTACATCCCCATAGACAATGTGGAAGAGCTCCCAACTTCTTAATATAGTGTTGAAAAGGTAGGACTGGCTGGGTGCGGTGGCTCATGCTTATAAGCCCAGCACTTAGGGAGGCTGAGGCGGGCAGATCACAAAGTCAAGAGTTCGAGACCAGCCTGTCCAATAAGGTGAAACCCTGTTTCTACTAAAAAATACAAAAATTAGCTGGGTGTGGTGGTGTGATACTTATAGTATCAGCTCCTCGGGAGGCTCAGGCAGGAAAATTGCTTGAACCAGGGAAGTGGAGGTTGCACTGTGAGCCGAGATAGTGCCGCTACATTCCAGCCTGGGTGACAAGAGTGACTCTATCTCCAAAAAAAAAAAAAAAAAAAGAAAAAGCTAGGATTATCAAAACTTTTTTTTTCATCTAGCCCTTCCTTATTTTAAGCATTCAGTTAAAATACTGAGATCATGGCAGAGAAATTATGCTATGTTCCCAATTTTGCTGTTTCTCTTAAGTTTTCCTGGGATTTTGTTACATGGTAAATTTAGTAAACATCATGTGATCTGATCCCAGGCAGTTGTTAAATGGAACAAATTGTGGCTCTGCATTTCAGATTGGTTTGATTCTTCTTACTGAGCCAAAGAGTAACTCAAGCACCTCAGTCTCAGCAGGCTCTGTGTCCTCTGTAGGGATAACTCCTTTATCATTGGTGGCATTTCATCCACATTCACATTGGATTGAATCCCAAGAGTTTCTGTGTTTTTTTTGCATATGCTTTTTCTCCCAACAGCTTGCTAAAAATTTCGGCTCATATTTCCCACCTACATGGAATATTTTAAAACAAAATCCGTTTAGTATGAACCCACTTTGAGGAGGACAGGTAAAAACAGGTTCAATTTCTATGAGAAGGCATTTGGGAAAGCTGCACCTTTCTGCTGCTCTGTGAAAAGCGTGGTCTTTACAAATTCTTCCTTTTGAAGAATCTGGTTCCAAATTTATTCCAGAAAGCCAAGTTTCATATTTTAGAGAACGTCATGTGACATGGATAAATGAATGATCTCAGGGCCAGATAGTGTAGAAACATGAGCAATCTTAAAAATACACCAAGTAATGAATTTTCTTTCTTCTTCACAGGCCTTCTTTCAAGGCAAATTGAAAATCACTGGCAACATGGGTCTGGCTATGAAGTTACAAAATCTTCAGCTTCAGCCAGGCAAAGCTAAGCTGTGAAGAACTCCCTTTGACTACTTTTGAAAATCGAGATGAGATATATAGATTTATATCCATCTATTTCATTGTCAGAATTTAGACTAAGACTACACATTGGCAAATAGTGTGGAATAGATTTGTTTTTAAATGGGTGTGACCAATCCTATTTTTCCTAGGCTCTGGGTGAATAGAGCCTGTTGGTATACTACTGCTTTGCTGAATTGCCTACAACTGTGCATTACAAAGTTAATACAGTAATTATGGTCTGGGTAAAATTGAGTTTCAGAATAAAATTAGGAACAGTCAAATCCTAAAGCCTATGTAAACAAAAAAGCTTTGTTTTGCTTACAAAGTGTATTTAGGGATTATTCTGCTGAAGATTCAATTTAAGAGTTTTCCTTGGGAGAACTAAGAAACACAATACCAATAGCTGACCGGTAATTAGTATTGTGCACTTAATGTTCTTAATCAGTTTCCCATTAATAGTTCTTAAAATTAGTGAGATTAAAAAAATCTAAAAATTTTGCATTTTGTGCCATCAGAAACAGTATTTTATTCCCAAATCAAAATAAAAGAAACATGATCAGAGCTTGAACACAGGCTTATTTTTAAAATAAAAATATTTTTAAATGGGTTTCCTTCCTGAAAAATCAGTGTATTCGTCATAAAACACTATTAAGAATAATTGAACAATAAAGTTTGCTTTGAGATGCACAGTTTTCAAATTATAATCTCATATTTAAATGTATAAAGTTCTTAATCCTTTGTTGTAATTTGCATTTTTCATATAAGTTTAATTACCACGATTTATCTTTTTTCCTAGTTTTTCTAATAATGTTATTTCTTACAATTCAGTGAGATATGGGATAAAATAATGCTTTTGGAAGAATGTTTAATAGAAAATTAAAATAGCTTTTTCTGGTCTCTCTTGTTTTTATTGTGTACTTTTTGCTCAGGGTTCTCTAGATAATGCAGAATAAAGGGAAACTGGGAGATTTAGAAACTGAATGTTATCTGGACATAATCACTAGTTTATGATTGGGGAGGCAATGTGGTATAATAGAAAGAGTACTTGGCTAGGAGCCAGGAGACTTGCTTCTCTTAGGCAAATAACTGCCTGCCTGGACCTGTTTGCTAACCTGTTAGGAGATTTAAGTAGAAGGTCCCAAAAGTCCCTTTTGCTCGGAATCCTGCGAGTCTCCTGAGAGCCCAGTAGAATGGTCTGGGAATTATGGAGGCCTCACCTTTCTTTGTTAACTCATTACTTCACCCAAAGGTGGTCAGAGGTAGAAAACCAGCTGGTTTCATTAGTTTAGGTGTTTAGAGCCCTTGCTAATGTAGTCAGGACTACGGATCCGAGCTCCTAAGACCATTTAGCTTTGCATGTTCTATGACCAGCAGAAAAGCATTTGGTGATATGGCAAGAGGATACATTAAGCCATTAGAAGTTGATCTCAAGTTGCATAAAATGAATTCAGAACACAGACCTACTTCCTAATCATTGTAGTTTCTTACTCTGAGAAGACAAAGATTTCAAGAAAAGAGTTTCAACAAAATGTCTCACGTATCTGTACTTTGGATTTGCTGCATCATTCTGTTCTCAGTTATCCCAGATAACAAGAGATACCTGAAATAGGCTTTAGGATGAAACTAAAAAACGAAAAGGAAAAAGCAAAAATGGGGTAGAAATATGTTCCTCTATGATGTAATTTATCTACATAATAGAAAAGTACTTAGTGATAAAGTAGGGTTTTTTTTTTTTTTTAACCCCTTCTGATATTGTGGTTAGGAGGAAAGAGATTAACTTTTAATTTGAGTTAAAACTGCTGTTACTAGTTGTGCTACTTGAACAGGTTAAGTCTCAGTGGCCTGATTGATAAAGTGGAGATACTGATAACGGCTTCCTAGGATTATGAGAATCTAGAGAGAGAACATATGTAAAGTACCTATAGCAGTGCTAGTTCAGGGTAGTCATTCAGGAAATGTGACTTCCCTTGCTCTTCTTATCCTTAGCAGCACCACTTGGTCCCGTGATATGTGATAATGACGTTTGTAGTGTACGTCCCACTTTTGGAGTCTTTCATTTGTTCATTTAATGAATATTTATTGAGTGCCTACCATATACAGGTTACTATGTAGAAAGTATAGTCCCACTGGAGATACTAGTGGGCTCTTCTCAAGGTGCTTACGTTCTAATGGGGAGACAGTCAAAGAGACAATTATTATAGACTATGAAGTGCTGAGCAGGAAATGGTTAGGGTGCTATAATAAGGAGTTAGCGAGGAACCTTGATAAAGTAGTTAAAACAGATGTCTTTGAGGAAGTAATGTTTAAGCTGAGATCTGAAGGTTAAGAGGGAACAAACTATGCAGAGAACATTGCATCAGAGGGTGGAAACAGGCTTGACTTGTTCTGAAAACTGCAAGGGGGCCAGTGCGAGTGGAATAGTGAGCAGGAAGGACGGGCCCAAGATAAGATCGGATTAGATACACAGAGGCCAGTTTTATTGTGATTTGTTCATTATGGTAAGGCTTTTTTTTGTATTTCGTTCTTAGTGAAGTCAGGAGCTGTTGATGGTATAGCTTTATAGATGTTTGTTTCTTATTGAGGCTACATATTCATCTTGCCGTCATATCCTAGGTCTGGAACCTGGACTAATGGAGTAGCCACTACCTGGAGCATCATGACTGTCAGGGCAGATGAAGAGAAAAAGTTGGAAGTGCATGTTGGCTCTTAAAGCTTCTGCCTGAAGTGATACATACCACTTTTGCTCCCAACTCCTTGACCAAAGAAAATTACACGCCCCACCTAACTTCAGAGACCTATCATGTGCCAGAAGGAGAAAGTAAGAGTGGGAATATTTGTGAAGAGAACTGATGACCACCAGAAGGCCTACAGACAGGGGAATGAAATCATTTAAACTGTCGCTATAGCTGCTGTGTGGAAAATGTACTGGTGCAGAGGGCTGGAGAGTGGATGTCCAGGTGCAAGAAGATGGTGTCCTGGTCTAGGGTGTCAGCAGTAGAGATAGATGTGGAAAAACAGGCAGAGGTGGAGCTGACGGAACTTGGTAACTGGATGTGGGGGCAAGAATGACTCCTAGTAACAGGCCAGCCAAATGGTGGATTGTGACTGGACTGGCAGTAAGACAAGGAGGTTTCAGGGAGAGCAGTTGAAATAAGTTTTGCTTTTCAATTTTAACTGGGAGGTGCCTGAGAAATTTGCAAATAAAGATATTGAGGAGACAGTTGGATATGATGAGCTTAGAGGTGAGGTCATCTTGGAGATATACACTTGGAAGTCACGAATATATGGGTTGAATTTAAAGCTACAGAAATGGAGATTACCTGGGTTAGGGAAAAGGAGGGTTGGGGTAATCCTTGAGGAACTTCGGCTTTTTGAGATCTTGTAGAGGAGGACAAAGGCCTAGAGAGGTAGAGGGAGAACTCCAAGAAGAGAGTATGGCCAAAATGGGAACGGTCAACTACGTTGCTTGATTAGAGAGGTCAAGTAGGATGATCTCTGAAAAGTGTCTACTGGATTAAACTTGGCAACATGAAAGTCACTGGTGACCACCGCAAAATCAGTTTCAAAAAAAAAAAAAATCAGTGGATTTAAAATCAGTGGATTTTAATTTACCCCTTTAATAGGAGTAAAAGCTGTATTGGAATTGGTTTCATAAAGTTCTATGAAAAATAGGAACAGAAGAGTTCCATTTGGGTGATATGTTCAGTTTCCAAGTGATGAATATCCAGCAAGCACGTTAGGTAATACATACAGGTCTAAGCGAGGTCATCTTGCACATGTGTTCTCTGTGCCCAGCCTCCATTATCTTCCTCCCCACTCTTGCCCCCACTACACAGTCCACTTGGCAGATTCCTCATCATCCTTCAAGACCTACTCAGATACCTTCACTTTCAGGAAGCGGTCCCCATTTGTTACATAGAGCTAATCATTCCTTCCTGGTCATTTGTTTCTGTCTCCCACCCAGCAGAGAGGTCCTTAAAGGAAAGGACTGCCTCTCATGCATCTATTTTTGAGATCTCCAGCATCGTCTTGGCTTACTGCTAAATGAATGAAGGAGATAGGCAAATAACAATTTTATATTCACAGAGGGAGCATTTCTGAGGATGAGAGCCTAGTCACAGAATTACATTCTCTATTACAAAGACTTTTTGTAGCCCTTATGATGAAAGAGAACATAAAAAATTTTCCCTTAGACTAACTTTTCCTAATTTTTCTTTGCAAATATTGGCAGCTTCCCATAACAATCTTTCAACTTCAGACAAACAATTGCAAGTAGTCAGAAAAATCTGTTTATTAATGGTCTTATTTTATTTAATTTTATTTTGAGATGGAGTTTCCCTCTTATTGCCCAGGCTGGAGTGCAATGGCTGGATGTCTGCCCACCACAACCTCCGCCTCCCAGTTCAAGTGATTCTCCTGCTTCACTCTCCCGAGTAGCTGGGATTACAGGCATGCCTCCCCACGCCCAGCTATTTTTTTTTTTTTTTTTGTATTCTTAGTAGAGACGGTGTTTCTCCACGTTGGTCAGGCTGATCTCCAACTCCCGACCTCAGGTGATCTGCCCGCCTCAGCTTCCCAAAGTGTTGGGGATTATAGGCGTGAGCCACTGAGCCCTGCCGTTATGTTTTTAAAAACGAAGTGGGCTGGGCCAGGTGGCTTACACCTGTAACCCAGCTCTTTGGGAGGCCGAGGTGGGTGGATCACCTGAGGTTGGGAGTTTGAGACCAGTCATGCCAACATGGTGAAACCCCATCTCTATTAAAAATACAAAAAATTAGCTGGACGTGGTGACACGCACCTGTAATCCTAGCTACTTGGGAGGCTGAGGCAGGAGAATCTCTCTTTTTTTTTTCTCTTCTTGGTTCTATGAGAAATTAATTTTTATTTTATTCTCCTTTTTTTTTTTTTTTTTTTTTTGAGACAGAGTTTCTCTCTTGCTACCCAGGCTGGAGTGCAATGGTGCGGTCTCGGCTCACCACAACCTCCGCCTCCTGGTTCAAGCAATTCTCCTGCCTCAGCCTCCTCAGTAGCTGGGACTATAGGCTCGCTCCAGCATGCCCAGCTAATTTTTGCATTTTTTAAAAGTAAAGACGGGGTTTCATCATGTTGACAGGATGGTCTCGATCTCTTGACCTCGTGATCCACCCGCCTCGGCCTCCCAAAGTGTTGGGATTATAGGCGTGAGCCACTGTGCCTGGCCATCTCTTAAACCTGAGAGGTGGAGGTTGCAGTGAGCCGAGAATGCACCATTGTATTCCAGCCTGGGTGGCTGAGCTCCATCTCAAATAAAAAAACAAAACCAAAAAACAGTGGAGTTGGGCATCGTGGTGCATGCCTGTAATCCCAGCACTTTGGGAAGGTTAGGTGGGCAGATCACATGAAGCCAGGAGTTCAAGACCAGCCTGGCCAACATGGTGAAACCCTGTCTTTACTAAAAATTCAAAAATTAGCCGGGTGTGGTGTCACACACCTGTAATTTCTCAAAATAAATAAAAAGTTGCATAGTGGGTTATTTGTGCATTAAAAGCATAAGTCTTGTTGCTGTACTTTTTCAGATGAATTCACAATCTCAGATTTCTACAATTTTTGTTGGATGTGTAGAGGAAAAATAAGGGAAAGCGTGGCTAGCATGTCAAGTCCATGTAGAGGTGGGGGTATGACAAAGGAGTCACTTTGTCATAGAAAAAAATATAGAAAGAGAAATTTCAGATTGAATACCATTGAATTTCCAGACAATAAAAATCGGTCATGAGTGGACTAGAGGCTCCAACCACAGAGATTTCTAGACCCAGCTGGCAAAAACAGGGCATTTCACTGTGGGAGGTGTACCTTAATAGTGGCTGAAAGATACCTGAACAGGTGAAAGTGGTATTTCATTGCAGCCACTCTGAGGAT